TTTGTATTGGTTGTTTGTATGTTCTTTAGGCTTGGTTCGGGGGTAGTTATTGGGGCAGATCAATCAGGTGGCTGCCCTGAACAGCCACATGTACGACGACGTATGCATACGGCGTGGCATTGACGCCCCATCAAAGGACTATTAGCGTGACGTTGCCTCTAGATGCGAGCAGTGTAGACGAGGCGAAATCAGCCGTGGGAGAATAGGCGTTGACCGAGCGGATCGACGGTTGCGATGAGCGGCACCCCGGCACGGAAACATGCGCGGATTCTCAACGTTTGAAACAGCGACTGAGGATGAGGATAAATATGCATACGATAGATCGTGTGGGTTCTCATTTGGGAACGGTAACCTACTGTAAGGTGCTTGCAGACGGTCTTGTAATGCCTTCTTCTGAGGTAGACTAGACATACTGGGATGAAAGCTTGGTGTTCAAAGGGGGTGGGCATGAACTCTATCTGCTGTGCTGTCTTCGCAGTACTAGCTGGCAAAAATAAAGTAAGAGGATATGATACACAGCTCACATGGCTGTGGCAAGGTGCTTAACCTCGCCCAAGCTCTTACGAGCGGGCCGGCACTGCTGACGGTCATCGACTCTATCTGCTACACTGCTGTAAAGTTGCTGCGCTGTGGTGAAATAATGCTTGCGAGAAAAGACCGATTGATTTCGTGACGACGTTGCAGGACAGCACCTGCTGATCTGTTAATAAAGAAACGTTCGGTACCCGTTATGTACGCACACTACAGCAGTACAGCAGCAGCCGTCACATCAATGGGGTACTAAGCAGCGTACAGAGAGGCACGCACACGATACACCCCACGAAGGCTAAGCGCTGCAACTCACTGCTGTTGCTGTACACCTGCTTGTAGCACCAACATATTCACCTGGAAAAGCCGAAACGGGGTGACCGCTGCTACCTCTGCCTCTCCTCCTAGCTTTACCGCCGCCAGTGCTCAGCAACGTGTTTTACACAGCCAGCCGTCGCCACCACGCCCTTATCCCATGTCCGTTGCTTCGTGGTCGGTCATGATGATGATGATGATGCCAAAACACAACCGGCGCTCTGGTTGATGATGAGGTCGTTTGCTTCAAGCAGGAGGTTCACGCCGCCGCAATAGCAGCCCAGCCCCAGGTGGTTTCATGAGGGGCATTGCCTGGCATCTCACCACGTCGCGGCGTCTGTCCACGCGATATACATACGCTGGCAAGCACGTGTTGTGCGCTGTGCAGCTGTGCAGTGCTGCCGGCGCGCACGTTGGTTCTTAGTACAACGCACGCGCGCGCGGTCTTTACAACTCCTTTCGTACTAATCCCAAGTGCCGCTTTTAAAACCCGCTTTCAAACTCCCAATCAGCTTCGTTCAAATGCGGCGGTTTGGGCCAATCAGAGGCGCCGCTTTTAAAAAATTTATCCCTACCCATGGTCCCTGTTCCATAAAAGGCTCAGCGACCATGGGTAGGGCAACCCGGGAACGAGTTATATTAATTTCGCGCGAAGCGCGAAAAAAATACGAAGAGGCGTTTGGGCTGAAGCCTCTTTTTTTCTCCTTTCTGTGCCCTGTTGTTTTGACTGTTATCTCGCTCAAATCGAGCTCGATTTCAAAATCGTTTTTTGTTCTGCATTGCCTGGCACTTTGCGAGGAGGACTGATGCATGCGCATCAGAATGTACAAGGAATTGCGGCCGAGGGAGTGCACTAAATTAAGAGGCTTTATGATTGTGCGGAAGGTACCACCTTTTTTTTTTTCTTGCATGCGTCTGTTGTACGTGTACTTATCTCTTTCAAATCGAGTTCGATTTCAAAGTATAGTGTTTTGCTCTACATTGGGCATCTTACGAGAAGGATCGATGCGTGTACATTCAAGCCATGTGTTCTTCTACATTCAGACGTCTACGAAAAACACGGCAGCATCACGTCTGTGTAGGTTGGTTCTGCTACAGAACACTGCACCACACCCCGATCAGGGCTAGCATCGGCCGTTGCCGTTTACCCCCAAACCGGTTTGGGAAACAAGAATTGGAACTTCAGCGACAGCAGAGTTTGCCAACACTATGTAGTTCTCTCCCATTAACTGCTATGTACTTACGTTGCTGCCAGGCACTCCTACTGCTGTTGTGGTGCCCACAAGGTTTGCACGCCCCCCCGAAAAATGACACATGTCCAGCCTCCATAGCACGGATGGTACTTCTATCCCCTCATGCCCATCTTCGCATTCGGCATGGGCGCCCCCGTCCCCACCAAACCGCCCCTACTCACTACCCCAGTCACCGGCTGCTACCGCTGTAACCTATACACAAGGCGTTTCCAAATTCCAACGGGACACAACAGCATTTGCTCGCCGAATAGGCGCTCGCTGAAATAGCAACGAATAAGCATGGAAAACGAACCCTAGATCTCCGAATGTGCCTGTGCGTAAACCAAGCGTTTACATCTTCCGGTCGTCACAACAGTTCTCCGCAGGATGCCAGATGGCTGCCAATGATCACCAAGAGGTTCGCATTGAATCGCCGTTACATCGCGCAGGATTAACACCACGTCTTCAAACACTGCCCTGGCACCCCATAGGTTGGGTAGCTGTTCGACGGAGAGGAACCGCCAAATCAGCCTTCGACCCCGTCTTGATGTCCAGCGCTCGGTTGTATGAACACCTGTCATCCAAAGCGAGAACATGACATGTGTTTTGCGATTCAGCATTTTCATCAGAGGCCAAAAGGCAAAAGTGAACATACCCAAGCGTCGAACTTCTCTACGGCCCTTTGTAGTGCCATGGTTGGACCGCGGACAGTTGGTAAAAGTGTGCCCGGCCGTTGTGCCATCGATACAAGTATGCGTCGTAAACAAAAATGCAGAAACTCTACAAACACTTGAGTAGCACAAATGTCGCTCCCAGCAGCACGCATGCAAGCGTATCCCTCAACAATATCACGCTCATCCGCAGAGTTGTATCGCAATCTGGACTGCACGAAACCCCCTGTTGCTGCTCTATGCATGTGACCCACCTAAAGATGAACCGGCTTGTCAAGTGAGGCTCGAGTCGCGGCCGGCTTCCCGCCAGCGCCGCGGTGCCGTTAGGATGCTGAGCGAGAGTACCTGATGCACGGATGGAGCAAGAGGAGGAAAGGGGTACGAAGAACACACAGGAGGGAAAACGTCAGCAAATGCATTGACACGCCTCAACGATGTACCACGTATTTACTACCATACAAGCCTGCACCCTGTGTCCGCCTCAACGAGCGTTACCGATGATAAACCCTGAATTACACTCGCGCTATGTACATAAAACTGCGGTACACAGGAGGTAAGAACAAACAACCCGCTACATACTGCTGAAGGTTGCAGTTGAACGTTGACGACAAAAAAGAAAGAACCGTGACAAGGTTGCCGACGTACAGCAAGCAGACCTTAACAGATCTCCAGTTCCTCGGAAGGGACTGCGTGGATACAGTTGCTACAAATGAAAGGATTTGAGGTTGGACGTGGGAAGAAACGGCCTTTGACCCCTAGTCACAGCTTGATACATGCAGCGATGCAGCTTCCGGACGGATTTCGTCTTCGGGGGTCCCCCCTCACGAGCTAGGTTGCGCTTTGTATTGGTTGTTTGTATGTTCTTTAGGCTTGGTTCGGGGGTAGTTATTGGGGCAGAATCAATCAGGTGGCTGCCCTGAACAGCCACATGTACGACGACGTATGCATACGGCGTGGCATTGACGCCCCATCAAAGGACTATTAGCGTGACGTTGCCTCTAGATGCGAGCAGTGTAGACGAGGCGAAATCAGCCGTGGGAGAATAGGCGTTGACCGAGCGGATCGACGGTTGCGATGAGCGGCACCCCGGCACGGAAACATGCGCGGATTCTCAACGTTTGAAACAGCGACTGAGGATGAGGATAAATATGCATACGATAGATCGTGTGGGTTCTCATTTGGGAACGGTAACCTACTGTAAGGTGCTTGCAGACGGTCTTGTAATGCCTTCTTCTGAGGTAGACTAGACATACTGGGATGAAAGCTTGGTGTTCAAAGGGGGTGGGCATGAACTCTATCTGCTGTGCTGTCTTCGCAGTACTAGCTGGCAAAAATAAAGTAAGAGGATATGATACACAGCTCACATGGCTGTGGCAAGGTGCTTAACCTCGCCCAAGCTCTTACGAGCGGGCCGGCACTGCTGACGGTCATCGACTCTATCTGCTACACTGCTGTAAAGTTGCTGCGCTGTGGTGAAATAATGCTTGCGAGAAAAGACCGATTGATTTCGTGACGACGTTGCAGGACAGCACCTGCTGATCTGTTAATAAAGAAACGTTCGGTACCCGTTATGTACGCACACTACAGCAGTACAGCAGCAGCCGTCACATCAATGGGGTACTAAGCAGCGTACAGAGAGGCACGCACACGATACACCCCACGAAGGCTAAGCGCCTGCAACTCACTGCTGTTGCTGTACACCTGCTTGTAGCACCAACATATTCACCTGGAAAAGCCGAAACGGGGTGACCGCTGCTACCTCTGCCTCTCCTCCTAGCTTTACCGCCGCCAGTGCTCAGCAACGTGTTTTACACAGCCAGCCGTCGCCACCACGCCCTTATCCCATGTCCGTTGCTTCGTGGTCGGTCATGATGATGATGATGATGCCAAAACACAACCGGCGCTCTGGTTGATGATGAGGTCGTTTGCTTCAAGCAGGAGGTTCACGCCGCCGCAATAGCAGCCCAGCCCCAGGTGGTTTCATGAGGGGCATTGCCTGGCATCTCACCACGTCGCGGCGTCTGTCCACGCGATATACATACGCTGGCAAGCACGTGTTGTGCGCTGTGCAGCTGTGCAGTGCTGCCGGCGCGCACGTTGGTTCTTAGTACAACGCACGCGCGCGCGGTCTTTACAACTCCTTTCGTACTAATCCCAAGTGCCGCTTTTAAAACCCGCTTTCAAACTCCCAATCAGCTTCGTTCAAATGCGGCGGTTTGGGCCAATCAGAGGCGCCGCTTTTAAAAAATTTATCCCTACCCATGGTCCCTGTTCCATAAAAAAAACGTATTCAAAGGGGGTCCGTGGGAGAACTGCTGATGCACACGTACAATAAGTGATAGTAGTACATCCAGAGACCCCCTAGGGAGATCCAGACTTCAAGCCTTTCCAAAACGTTTCTTACCTCACGGTCATCCCAGCATCAACCAAAGCTCATCACCAATCCAAAACAGAGAGAGATATGAAGACTGCTTGTGCTATGGCGGCTGGTGTTGCGGCGTGCGCTGCGACGGCGTCAGCGTTTGTTGCTCCTAGGTGAGTTTTTTGGTTTCTTCGTTCATGAACCAGAGATGTGTGTCTCGGCTGTTTTCGGCCTCTCTTTCCTCTCTCTGGCGCTGTGTAGCATCGCCTGCCCTTGGGAGAAGTCCGCCCACAGCCGTGTACCGTCGTTCACGGTGTCACGTCCTGTCATATGTGTAGAAGGAGAGTTCGCAGGCACACGCGCGGAGGTGAGCACGCAGTCCTGCGCCACGGGAGCTTTGGCATTCGAACCGAAGTGTTGGTCGCCTGAGGGTGACATGTACAGCAGTATCAGAGCTGACTTCGAGATTGCAGTTGGTACACCCCTCTCGCTGAGGCGCACCAAGCGCTGGCGAACGATGCTGGGTAGGGTCATCCGAGGCAGCCACCAATGATGCTGCAAGTTTGAACAGCGTTCATCCTGTTTCCTTGGGTGGTTGTTGCCCCTCTCTTCGAAAACCTCAATGCTGCAGCTGATGATGACTCACACCAACCTAAAGCATTTTGCTATGCCCGCGTTTTTTTGAGGGCGGAAAAAGAGAGCGAAAGGGCGCACGCACACGCACAGACCACATCGTTAGTTGGCGAGGCTGTAGCAGTTCGAAGGTGTTGCCAAGGCACGCTGGTTGCACCTGTGGTAATTCCTACAACTGTCTGTCATCGCGTCAGTGCTGGAAAATTCGCTTCTGACATTATGTCTGATGGAAAAGGAAGGATCTGAAAGTGTGCTCTTGCAAGTTGACTCTCGCCATCATACATGAGGGCACAACTAACTGCTGTGCGCACATGTTTTCTCTTGGATTGGATCGAGGGTCGTAGGGCACAAGAGCCTGTGTGCAGCATGTACGCGTATAGATGTGTATCCCGGCTGCATTTTCGTCATGCGGAGGAGAGTTTCGACACTAGTTTAGTGACGAAGTGCGCTCAGCGAGGCAGTGCTGCCCCTAGCCCGTCAAGAGTTACATGTCTGCGCTGCCGCAGATGCATGCCAAGAGGCACAACAACACCTCAGTGGGATTGGTGAACCAAGCAATCCTTTGTTGGACTTGTTGCGGAGTTACTTTCTACTCGAATATAGGCCTGGTCAACAAGCTCCCGTTTCACGCTGTAAGCTTGGTCGCGGTCTCCCCTCCTCGAGGTACAGCGGGGCGGTTCGGTTCATCTTCGAGAAGCGGCACAATTCAGGGTCCCCGAAGCTGCAGCAGTACTCTGTACTCTGCCGTGCTGGTGGGACCGGGTGCAGCCTTGACGGTTTAGTGCGTTGTGTGCATGGAGAGAGACACACAAACCGATCCACCATACCCTAGATAGCATGCTGCCCGCGCTTTTCGGCGTACATCGATATGCCCAGAATCGTTGTCACGAGCATTCCGCCTTTGTTCAAGGAGAGAGGGGGGGAAATCAAGCGTTTGACCTCTTCACACCTGGTACAAGTATAGCTCATGGAACCATCTCCGCTACACATTGCTGTACCCTGTCACAACAGCCGTCCTACGCGACCTCCAGAAAATGCCCCAACTACGCCCCCTCCCCGTGCATGTTTGCACATATTCCACTGCGGTGCACTATGGGGTAGCATGTCTGCTGAGGCGACTGCGGTTTCGAGCACCTGCCTGCCTACTGCCGAACAACAAAGACGACCAAGTAGATGTACTTCGAAGAGAAAATGTTCACGTGAACGGCGGCAGCGAGACACGCAGTAACAGTAAATACATGCACGTTCGAGAGCTTGCTACACGTGGTGAAGAGGCGACTCATTCCTTAGAGCTCTGGTCATACTTGTACCGTCTCTGTGCTGGTGGCAGTTGTGTCTACTCTCTTAGCACAGCAGCTATGCATGCACCGTGCCTGCCACTGAATCAAAACCTGCTGGCTTCGCTGTCTTTCTGTTTCGTCAAAACCTCGGTGGTGTAATTTTTGTTTTTTTGCTGCCAGTCCCACACTTTCGCCGACGCGCCAAACCATCCTCTCTCTCTGCACAAGCGAAGTGTAGGCGTTCATACTTGTCCTCTTTTTGGTGTCTGCCCTACATGGCAGATCCAGCGAAGCCGAGCTGCTCCTGCTGCGGTATGCGTATGTCCGTGTGAAACGGCCTCTCTCGTGAACCGAGAAAAAAATTCAGAGGTTCTATGGGGTGGGACACCGAAAGACTTGCACCGAAACCCTTTCCAGACACCTTCACTAGGAACACTACCATCGGCCTTTACCGTAGGGGTGAAACCGCGTAGTAGTGGTGGTCAGGAGTCTTCCACGATTTTTTCGTTCCCTAGCGTTCTGATTGGTGTATGTATACCGTGAAGACCATCCAATAGCGAAAGACACACCCGTGCAAGATCTTGTATTAGCCATTCCCTCTTTGGCCCATGTGCGTCGGCAGTTGAGAGACCCGATCTCGGCGGCCTGGCTCTACGCCGCAAGGTGGTGGCTTTTTCGGACGGTGGACTAGGACTGTCGGGGAATATTATCTCACCGGGTTGTGCACCGAGCGACCCTCGTCGTCACCCACCCCCTCCTCAGCATTTGGCCTGGGGGTCGTTGCTGTAGAGGTTTATTTCGTGCGATGGATGCATCGGTCTTGTTGTGGTTGTCTCAGGCTGGCTGTGGTTGACTGCCTGATGGCACCAGTCGGTATTTCACCCATGCTCTTGATACATGAGACGGTGCCCGGTCCCGACGACCGACGACGGGTGTAAAACAGTGCCTACCAAATTTTGATCAGAGATTCGTGTAGCCACCGCCGAGGTGTACACCGGCATGGCATAGAATCTTGTTTTTCTACTTGTTGTCGCGTATGCTCGGAATTCGGCACCTCGTTGTTTGTCGAGTCCATGTCCATCCATACCGTATGCCACCCGGTACCCCGCCTGTGTCGGTGTTGCGGCGGTATTTACCAAGGCCGAAATCGAAATATTGTTGGCCAGTTGTAGACGGGACCCTATCGAAACCGTACGACCAGAAAGCATTCAGCCTTGGTGACTGATGACCTAGAAATACGTGATGGTTCAAACCCCACCCGAGTTGGTGTTCGCCCGGGGAAGAACGACAGCCGAAATCTGTAGAGCCTGCACAACCGGCACCAGGTTTCGGCTGTGGTCATGGACCGGGAAGCACCAAACGCAGGCCGCGTGGCCGCGCATGTATGTTGATGACATGGATGAAAATCGATCCAATACCGATGTGCCGAATCCAGGCAACGTGTGAAGGTGATTTTATGGTTTTGCCGTAAATATGCATGCTACTTTCTTCTCTCTTTGCCAATGCACTACTCGGCTACTCCAGCGGCACAAGACAATGGTGTTGCCCCTCACGTCCCTTGTGCCATGTTTGTTTTTTCTTGTTGAAACAGAGTTTGCGTTATTTTTAGACGCGTGGTTGTGTTTTGTCAAGGGTCTGTAGTTGCCCACTACTGTCCCTTCCTCGTGTGCCAATTTTTCTTCTTTGTTTTTTGCGATGATGTATCAACCAGAGCAGCAACAATCCTATACCGACTGTCGGCTCTTTGTTCTCGTCCTTGTGTGCTTTTCCTCTCGGCCGACGTTTCATGACTTGATTGGTGATCTTCAGCGCGTTCAAGGGAGCGTCGTTGACCGCCGCGAAGCCCGCGTCCTCGTCGATGAAGATGTCCTTCGAGACCGAAATCGGAGCCCAGGCGCCCATCGGCTACTGGGATCCCCTTGGGCTCCTCACCAAGGACCCCTCCCAGGTTAGTTGGTGCCTGCCGCCTTTGGTCAACTCCGCTTTGGCGGGCGTATACCGTATATGACACAAGATAACACACCCCCTTGGCCGATTTTCAAAGCTCGATTTCTCAACAGCAGGAAGAGTCACAGCGCCGAAAACGGCGGCGTTGGAACCGTCTCGTCGAGAGCTGTTCGAAAACGTATTGTTTCATTTATGCATCCTCTTCGTCGTGGAGTAATCGAGCTTTGAAAATCGGTCCAGGGGGTGTGTTATCTTGTGTCATATACGGTACGCGGTTGTTGTTGTATTGGTTGCTTTTAACGTGTGCTGTATGCAGTAGGTCGTGGAGGTGAACCGTACATTATCCATGTGTAGGATATGTACTGTAGCACCGAAGTGTTTTGGTCGAGTCTCTTGTTCGTTGTTGTCATACATACGCCTGTTGAATATTTATTAGCGCAACGCGGGCGTGTACGTCTTTGCCGTCCCTGCGGGGGCGAAAGGTCTTGCGAAAAGAGGTGCTCCGCTGTTTGTGTGTGGAGATGCCTACTGTAGCAAGCACAGCGTCTTGGTGAGTTTATGTAGTTCTACGTCCTCAGTCTCAAGTCAATATTCATAGCGCTCCTAGCTAAAACAGCGCACCCGGCCTGGGGTGATGTTCGTGGTGCGGTCGGGAGTATTGTTTCTTGCCCTTCCGCTGTACTAAGTAGGCCGAGTGGATGGTTGTCATAATGGCACGTCGTTGGCGCATGCTGTTGAACGTTATTGGTCAAATTTTCTCGCTGCCTTGCACCAACATACCATTGGTGTAAGAAGAGACGCCCAGGTGGCGCTTGGATGCCCGTAATTTCACGGGGACTCCGACTGGGGGTCGGGAACAGCACTCTGGTTTAAACCCACAATCGATTTTCTGGCGTGGGTATAACATGTTGAAGCTTTGTTGTTGTTGTTGCTGATTCGGCATCCGAGCACCGTCCCGGTGTTGATGTGGTGTAAACAGCTGCCACCCTTTTTGTTGCATTTATTGCGATAGACAAGTACATCTCTCAAGAGTATGACTGTACATTTGGCTTGTTTCTCGTTTCTCGTTTCTCAGCGCTTCTCTCCCTTGCCCCCCCCCCCCACCCATGTCTGTGTCGTTGTGTGCAGGAGCGCTTCGACCGCCTCCGGTACGTGGAGATCAAGCACGGCCGCATCGCGATGCTCGCCATCCTCGGCCACATCACCGCCCAGAACTTCCGCTTCCCCGGCATGCTCGCCCCGTCCGCGGACCTCTCGTTCGCCGACTGCCCCAACGGGCTCGCCGCCATCTCCAAGATCCCCCTGTACGGCCTGATCCAGATCTTCCTTTTCATCGGGTTCCTTGAGACCAAGGTGTGTGTGCGGGGTCGGGGGCGAGGGCGTGCGCGTTTGGTCAAGTAGAACTAAAATGCCGCGAGAACAACGTGGGGAGGCATGTGTCAAGAGGCAGGAACCTTCTCTTCATTTCTAAATATACTTCGAAGAATGTATTTTTGGTCGTGACGTGTTCTTGAGTGGGGTCTACCCTAGGCTGGAGGTGTGGGTTGGTTGCAGCTTGGGACTGTCGCTGCCAGGGGCGAAAGTCTTCGGCGATGTTTGGTTGTGCTACAATAACCCAAGGTTGTTTTCATGCCCGCGCCGTTCATGGATGCCTGGCTCTCTCGCCTCTCGGGCCCTTGTAGTTCCCCGCCCTTTCCCGTGGCTGGCATTCTAGAGCATTCATTGTTTTTAATCAGCATCTCTTGTTTGTCGAAGACGGCAGGCATGTGCGGCGACGAAGCGCTGACCTCTGAGCTGCCACTTACCCTTGTTCCGCCGCGATGTGTCCCCAGGTTATGTTGCAGAAGGAGGGGTCCTTCCCCGGAGACATGTCGCTCATCAACCCCTTCGAGAAGGAGTGGGAGTCGTGGACGGAGGAGGAGCAGGCCACCAAGAGGGCGATCGAGCTCAACAACGGCCGCGCGGCGCAGATGGGCATCCTCGGCCTGATGGTGCACGAGCAGATCAACAACACCCCCTACGTGATCAACGAAATCCTCGGCTCGCACGTCCAGTTTAACTAGAGCGGAGGGAGGACCAGCCGGCCACCCCGCATGCTGTCGTTTATTTTTCGTGCTGGGGGCGTTTTAAATTTTTGCTCGAATTGAGGAATGGGAATATGTTTGGGAGACGATAAGAAACAACGTGCAGTGTGTTTTGGCGAAATTCCCGGCAGATGGTAGTTCGTCGACACAGACGGCAAGTCTCTTGTTCCATTTTTGTCGTTCGGTTATTGCCGTGAGAGCGGTTTTCTACAGGAGAGCAGGTGGAGCGGGGATCCCCAGTCCTTCCGACTTTTTTGCGTTTGTTTGCGTTTAGAGTCTGACCGCGTATAGTTGAAGATGCCCGCGTCCTGGGCGTTGTTTGATTGATTAGTGGCTACACGGTCCGCTTTTCTGTGACGTCATTTTGTGCAGGTCTATAGAGAGGCGTGTGCTGGTTAACTCGCCGCTTACCCTTTTTTGGCACCTCACGAAAAGAGTGAAAACCCCAAAACTTGTTGGCTCTTGTTTATCCCGCATTTTGTCGGGCTTGCTGAATGCGCACTCGAGACCCCAACGAAAACCAGAGATCGGGGTCGATTTTTCGACATATAAGTTGCGGTATGAAGCGAGCAACATGCCTCGCTGCAGCTCGCTCCCACGAGCTTTTAAGTAGTGGCTCCTCATGCGTGGGAGGAGTTCCTCTCGCTCAAGTCTTGTTCGCTTCGCGTTTTCATCTTCCATCGAGGGAATCCGTTCCTCTCTCCTTACCTCGTACGCTCGTTTTTCTGTTGTTTCCCCCGAACACATGAGACAAAAACAGCAGAAAGATTGGAGCTGAACTCACACGAACACTCTGTGACGCGCTAAGATAGCGACGGCCGACCAAGGTCTGACAAACCTTGAATGAACCCGTATGACCAGGAGACAGCGAAATTTTTCGTGTGTCCACCGGGCTGTCGATCCCGCCTACACCAGACTCCGACTGTATCCCTTCGTAACGAACTGGGTACCCGAAAGTAATCACACCACCTCCGTTCATTCTGCTGTAGGCTTGGCACAGCGATGCCGGCTATGCGCATTCGTTCTCTTTCGTCGCTCGTTTCTCGTATTGTACGCCCTCCCCCCCCCCCGCTCCCCGGCAGCATTGCGCTATGATTGATGCGTCCTTTTCGCCATGCCCTTGATTTGTGCTCGAGTGAGTACCTGGAAACGTGTGATTCCCAACACACGGCAGTTCGGGACGGCGGAATGCACGAGGAGAGGGAACCATATCAAGAGACCTGCTCCCTTCTCTTCAAATAGCAGTAGTTACCCTCACTACAACCTGTGTGGGACACATGCTTTTGACTACGTACATACCTCGTCGTCGTCTCCATCAGAGCCACTGTCACCGGAACGATTGCTCTCGAAGTTGCCACGTCCACCGTCAGCGTTAGCTGTACCGGGGTCGTTGATGACAAGCAGGACCGGCTCCTTCTTTGCCCCAACCTGAGCGCCATCGTCGCGGATGGCGTAGTCTTTTCCGGCACAGCCGTCCGCGTCGCTGCTTCTGGGGATATCGGTCGTCGTTCTCTTCTTGTTGGTAATCAAAACGCCACCATCATCACGATCATCAGCATCACCATCTTTGGCATCATCATCGCCGTCAAGACGATCGTCCCCATCGCGTGTTGAGGGCAGGTCCTTCGGTGGCTCGAGAAACCTGCAGGGAGTCCCGAAACGGCCGAGACATGGCGCTTGTGACAATAAAGCAGGAACATGGGGGGCGTTTCTTGTGGTGTCGCTGGAGAACGATTACTCTACACAACGTCGATTGAATCTGTCTTCATATACTGGAGAACCAACAACAAGTGATGATGGAGGCAATCAAAGGATGTCCTGCATGTTGACAGGAAATACCTGGACTTCATGTTCCTGGCCTTCCTTTCGAGATCTGCGAACGATAGGCCCGCGTTCTCGATCACCCCGGGGGCAGGGATAGCGTCAAGGTCCGGAACAAGGTTGTGGTTGTACCCTTCGCCTCCGCCCCCCATATCATCACCCGCATTGTCTTCCTCCTCGCGATCGAAGCGGGCGAACCGAACCCGACACTCTTCCGCGGTAATCGCTTCTTCTGTCGCAGGCATAGCAACGTTTTCCGTGCGCGCGACGGTTTCACATTGATAGGCTGTTATGTAGCACGGATAGCTCGCGTTCATCACCATCACCACCACCGACAACTAACTGACGTTCACTTCGTGGTTGCGTTGCACGGACGTCAAAGCTTTTTAGGGAACTTTGTCGCTTAGCCTGGGGTAAAGACGGCAGGGAAAACCACGGCTCTCTCGGACGCGTGCAACATAGTGGACACTTTGACTACAGCTCACCACCACCACCACCACCACCGACAACAACGACATACGAAGTATCACCTTCACCACCATCGCCGCTGGCGACACAAGAGGAGAAGCGCGCTGCCACCAGGTCGAATTCGAATTCGCATTCGCGCACGAGGCGCGCCAGAGCCCAGTCCCTCGACGCGGTCCACTGTCGGCCGCCACTCCGACCCCCACCAACACCGCCACCGGGATCGCACTTACCGGATCCCTCTGTTGCGCCTGGAAAAGGCACCTGTTCTCTACGGTGACATCGTGTCTGCTGCGTGTTTTCTGCCGGATTTCCTCGTGGTCCGCTGGTGGCCGTTACGATCTGCGGCGAGGCAGCCGCCTCCGCGGAAACCTCTGCGGAGGCTTCCTCCAACCTGCGCTGAAAGCCCCCGGCAACCGCACCGCCGCCGCGGTGGCGGGAAGGGCTGCCGGGAGGCGACCAGACGCAAGCCCCGGGCGTTTTCTCTTCCTGCGCCCCGTGGAGGTTCGCCTGACATTTACAAGAGACCACCAAACACGGGGGGTGAGAAACGGACGGGCCACAGAACCTGTGGGGTTATCTCTACATGGAGCCAGACATGAACTAGACTATTAGCACCCAGCAACATTCATCCTTTGCGGCGTTCCTTGTTGTTTTGGGCATGAATCGCTGCAACCTAGCAGGCCAGCCGCGCCGTAGGGTCCAAGTTCGTTTTGAAGCATCCCTTAGTCCCCGTTTCAACCACCATAACCGCAAGTACCACCTCCTTCGGCCCCTAGACCTGTGGCCCCTCTTGAATTCGTTCGTGGCAAACGCACCTCTTCTAGACGGCGTTCCGCCGCGAGCTGGGACCGGTACATGGCCAGAGATTGAGCTACCCGCACTCGGCGGATCTCTTCTTCATCGTCCTCCTCCTCCTCCACCTCCTCCTCCGCCTCGCCGTCTGTTTCTGTGACCTTTCGCTCCTCGCTGTCTTCCTTGTTTTCGTCTTTGTCGTCGTCGTCGTCGTCGTCTTTCTGAAGCTCGTCGTCTCCCCCCCCTCCTTTCCCCTCCTCTTCGTCGTCAAAGCTGCTGTCTGATTTACGATCCCCTCCTCCCCCGTCGTCCCCCCCCCGGCTTCCTGCTCTACCTGTTCCTGAGAAATTCGGGTCGCTGCCGCCGCTGTCGCAGGTCTCGCTGGCTGTGGCGGTAGACTTGCTCGATGTTCCTGTCGTGATTGCGGTGGTGGTGGGTACGCCATTGTCTGAGCCGCTGTGCCCGTCTCAAAAAGGCCTTATGGTATCTGGTGTTGTTGTCGTCCACCCAGTGTTCGATGCGGTTTGAGATCGTTTCATCCTTTCCCCCTCACAAACTTACCACCATCACCAACTTTCGATGCCGGCCGCCGGGTTTGGCCGTCAATAACGCCTCCTGCAAGCGTGCCACCAGACCCCGTGCCGACCTTCTCGTCCCCTTCACTGTTGTCATTGCCAACGCCACTTCGAACCCCCCCCCGCGAACCAAAACAATCTACGTGCCCCCCTTTACCTCCTCCGACAGTGGACGGTGGTTCTGGGAGGGGGCCTTCTGCCTCGGCGGATGAAGCTGCAGCCCCGGCTAGAGACTGGAGGACATCGCGGCGCGAACCGTGGGAGGCGTTGCTGTTCTTATCGCCCTCGGCAGCGTAGAAAGCGTCCGGGATTCTGCATATTCCGCCCGGAGGAGAAGGGACGTGGATCCCGGGGGGAAAAACAAGTTTTCGGTTGGTGTGGGGAGGCGGGGGGGGGGGGGGTGTACTCATAGTCGCGCATGCCGTAGTCGTTAGACCATTCACCTCGCATCCCTACAAAGCCGGGACGGAGCACGTCGGGTTCTCACCGGACCAGGCTCTCAATCACCAAGCGCGAAGCGCCGTGATGTATTCGGCGAGTCGCATGAAGGGTGCGCTGCATCCTGCTAAGGGTGGTCGGCATCTTGTGCTTACTTCCTTGCGTACGGATGACAGATGCGTATGAATTGGTTTATTTTCTGGTGCGTTCACTTCCAGAGACAGGTATAAGCATTGTGTAACTGCCTCGAGCATGCTTACACCATTTTAACACAACGTGATGCGATCATCCCCCCTGCGCGGAGTGAGGTTTCTCGACCCCGCACAACATGATCTACTCGACCACCATTATGGTTACCGCCAAAAAAAAAACAGAGGTAAAAAAAAAACCGGTAACCTGGTTGCCGAGTTCACGAAGTGAATTGGCTTGTCTTACAACGTCGTTGCCAAGCGACGAAAACCCAATCCCGATGGCGGAGGGGGGGGCTAGGTAAAAGGGGGGGTTGTTCAAAAGTGTGTGTGAAGTAGACGGGACCGTAGAGGAAATCGTCCTTGGCAGACGTTGGGGAGGTTAGATATGTTTCTGAAGGTGGGCAGGTGGTCTCCGCATCACCCCGGGAACAACGAAGGTCATGGTGGTGATATGCATCACGGACAGTGTTTCTCCGCGAGAAAAAAAGTGGTACGGCAGCCTTGCTAGAATGAAGTAACATCTTTGGGGTTGGATTTGGAAGCGATCGCACCCTCATCGTTAAGGTCAAAGCCCTGCCAATAGTGCAATTCAACGAAAGGTGCGGCCCACGGATACCTACCTCCTTGATGAGGCGCTTGTCCTCCTCCGCATCGGCCTTTGCCTTGGCCTCTCTTTCCGCCTCGCGGAGCACCTGGAACCAACGGCGGCAGGTTTCCGCACCACGATCGAGTGGGTCGGAGACGTTGACGTACCGTGGGTCGGGGGCACGGCAGATAACAAACGTCTTGGCGGCTGGTCACGAGCGCGCATTTCGTTTTGTGAGTTTGGATACATTGCTGGTGCTTCGTACGTTAACGTGGAAAATACCACGAACGGGAGAGCCTTGATGAGCACGCTGGGCGAAAATTTCCGCTAGAACAAGCTAGCTCAAAGGGCACCATTTTCTCTTCGGGTGCATTTGGCCTCTCCTATCCGTTGTTGACCCTTTCGGGCTCCTTCGAACGCACGTGGGATTTGATTCGCCGCACGTGACCATGGGTTTAGGATTGAAAGTCCTTGCCGATTCTTAGAACATGTAGAGGCACACTGAATGACGATGATGATGGTATCGTGGAGCGGGCAAGGTGTCGTGATGAAGGCATTCGTTGCTTCGAGAATGGCATTAACGGCGCAATCGGGGCACTTGGTCGTGGTGCTGACCTCTTCCGGCGTAGGCTCCGGTGCGCCAAGCCCGGCAGCAGCGCGAGCCTCGATTTCCGCCAGCTTCTTCTGCCTCATTTCCGCCTAGTTTTTCCACGGAGCGGTGAACGTCGAGTGAGGGCTTAAGAGGAGGCCACCAGAAAAATGGTGGAGATTGTTGTTGATATACTCTTACCTTCCCATGACATGTGCTCGCAATCGTCGCGCTGGTACAAAAAATGTACTAAAATATCGCAGCCCAATCAAAAACGGCCACCAGAGGATAGTTGCGGTGTTTAGGCAGGTCAATGAATGCTTGTTGGCGTTTTCCCTCCCCTCGCTAAAGTCCATCGTCCATTCTCCAACCTCCTCGCCACTGTCCCTTTCTCGCTCTCTCCCACCGCCCCTTCTGTCTCTTGTTAAGCCAAGTCATGTCCCTCTCTTTGTACTGCTGGCCCTCCTCCTCCTCCTCCTCCTCCTCCGCCCACCTCTCTCTCGGCAAATCTCTTCCATCTTTGACCCCTGCGTGTTACCGACAAAGCGATTAGGTACACCTTACTCCCATCCATAGCCCGGGATTTTTCCGATTCGTCTTCCCTCACCTGCCAGTCCCTGAAGACTTGCATCTGTCTGCGGTCTTCGTTACGCTTCTCCTCCTGGTACCTGCGGCAGAGAGCGAGCAAGTGTGAGCGAACCACCATAAACGAAAAGGCACTTCAAAATTACGCCTCAATTCATTGTATGCCCCGAAAATACTTGATGACGTTAAAAGAGGTAAGCAGCGTTTCGGCTCTTCGGTACAACGCGTCCCGTTTGGCTCGATGCGACAAAGAAAACAACAATATTAGACAAGCATAGCAAGCAGGCCGCGCTTGCTTGCCTCGTACGGGCGTTCCTCTCAGCTTCTGCGCCGCCGACAGTCCAAGCCGCCGCCGCCACCCTCTCCGCTTCAAACACCGGTCGGTCCAGGTACCTATTATAGGGAGAAGAACCAGAGTTCCGAAGCCCAATCGAAGTTTTGCGTCACGTCATGTAGCCGAAGGAGAAGCAGGAGGGCCGTGAGCATGGAGAGGCCAACCAAAGGCGGGCAGCACGAAGGCGGCGGGACATCCACAAAGCCCGGGGCTGTACGGTTGCGCTTCGTTGTCCTGACTGGATCGCAGGCGTGTGAATCTCCGTAGATGCTTTTGAGAATATTGCGGACATGAATAAACCCGCCACACTCCGATGCTACACCGGCGCGGAGTTCGGGATGCTTGAGAACATGCGGACACTCACAAACCGCCACAAACTCCGGTGTTTTTTCCGGCAGGTGAGACTGGCGTGGCACATGCAGACCGCCCCGGCCCGCCCAAAAACGCGGCTGTCGGCTGCTTGCGCCCCGACAGGTGAGGTCTACAACCCACCTCAGTTTCGGGGAGGCGGTGATGACGGTTTTCCTGAAGTGGGCGGTCTCGGCGAGGATGGGGTTGCCGGACAGGCTGAGGGACACCAGGCCCTTCAGAGAGGACAGCACCTGCGCGTGGGCGTAGAAGAAGGGGCGGTGTTGGCGTTACTGTATTATTTGAAGAAGTTCGGGAGTTCTAGATATTTTCCCGACAGGCATTCCTGCTTTTCCACGAGGAGCGGCAACGTGCCCGCGTACGGGAGAAGCCAGGCCCTGAGGTCACCACTGCCCGAGACAGACGGGCGTTGTTTACGTTTCAAAATGTTCATTGATTACTTCGATATGCGTGTATGCGTACATCTCTGAAACGCTCACGTCGACAACTCCGGGTCCCGCCAGCCTGTTGCCGGTGACGTCGAGGTTGGTGAGCGCCGGGCATTCCGACAGGGGGGACACCGCGGCGGCGTCCCCCAGGGAGTTCTTGGAGAGGTTGAGGGTGTGCAGCGAGGGGAGGCACGAAAGCCCGAGCGCGGCCTCGATGCGGTTTTGGCTCAGGTCCAGCTGGGGGTGAATGTAGCCAGATATGAACAAGAGAGAGAGCGACGGAGAGAGGGGATGAGACAAGACGACATGTTTTGTGAAAGAACACCACCGTGAGTTGAGGTCGGTTTGACTCGTCGGGATGTCGGAACCATATGGCCCAACCAAGCTTCTTTCTATGGCACAGTTGGTCGTCTTTCGGTGCCGGCGAGCCCAAGCCACCTGCATGTTATTTGGTGGACTCGATCTACTGCTTGGTCGACATGTTCTGCGGGGCCTAAAGAAACATCTACACTCAAGAGAGATCGGACTGCCCATCGACTCTCGTCAGCGAAAGGGAGGTTGGGTGCGCGTTTCTTCGGCGACGAGAAGCTTCGTGATTAGAGAATCCCAAGGCCGGCTGGCAGCCACCTAACCGTAATGATAAGGTTCTGGGTTCAGACGGACATAGTCAAAACCCCTCGATGCCCCTCCAAATGCTTTGTCACCTGCACCAGGCGTTCTAGCCCCTCCAGACCCTTTATGGTGGAGATGAGATTGCGCTCGAGGTACAGGCACCGCAGCTGACTGAGCCCAACAATAAACGAATTCGTTCAACACGATCGACCCAGGGTTAGAGGCACGATGAGATCGGAGAAACGAAAATGTACTGTTGGTCGAAATTTAGGGATCGGCGACTAGGAATTCCCAGGGTGATTGCACTGGTGGGAAGAGTGGCACACAATATCGCTCGGGCGTGTAGCTACGAGGATATTGGTGATGATACGTCTGGCAAGGGGTGGCCGGAGAGAAAAGGGGGTGGAGGCATGACAACCAGGAGCTGTGGCTACGACGAGGATAATTCGGCCTGCCTCAACGGGTATACGACAGAGTGTCCGTCAACGTGAGAGCACGTTGAATCATCTCACAACCTGTCCCTCGTGGACAACATGTATATTTTCTGGTCAACAATGCCACAGTCCGCTATGACAGCCCGAACGGGTGCATCATGAAGAACAGTGGCAGAGAAAGGGGAAGGGCCTATGAAGAGAATCAATGCCGCGGCAACGATTGTACCGCTAATGACGACTATCTACAAGGGCTGAGAAAACCAACCGAAACAACATCATCTACAGTCAAGGCGTCTTGGCGAAGCCTGCATGCGGCGGGGCTTACCTCAAGTGACCGATCCCCTGAATTTCTGATATCCCGTTCCCTCCCAGCCACAGCGCCTTCAAGCTTGTGTACGGGTCCAGGTTTTGAATCTTGCGATACCCCTGATGGGTTCATTGTGAGTGCGCGGCAGAGAACTTGCTTTTACCACGTTTTTCCTCATGAAACAATAGGGGAGACAACGTACGTTGCTATTCTTAGCTAAAAACCGACATCGGTGTTGGACGGCACAGCACATGTAGACGCGTCGTGCGGCATTGATTGTTTCAAGAAAGAAACCGAGGGCGGCCGATTATCGTCATTCCCCTGCATGACCACGCTGACGGGCTGGTCATTGATGATTCGTCGGTGTCAGCTGTTGACACCCCGGTCCACGGAAGGGGTTCAAAGGTTGTGGAAAGTATTCCTCGTTGGAGAGCGTTTTGAGGGTTATGCCAAAACTGTGCAGCTGCGACTCGAAAGGGCATGTCGGAAAAGGTTCGAACAGGCCGAAACTGTGTTGACATACCTACGCCCGCCAGCTGAAAGATGTGACTCCTCGAATATTTCCGTTTCGTGCAATATTTATTGGCTTTGGTGCCCGTTACGAAGCCACTGGACGCCAAGCAACACCATAGCTCGAGATTGGGAGCGGCAGTGCTGCCATCAACAACGGTATCAACACCAAGCCTACAGGTGGCATTGTGTGCTGTACCTTGAAGTGGAGGTAGAGGCGGTCGTTCAGCTCTGGAGTCTCGTACCCTTCGTCGTCTATCGCCACCTGTTTCGTCCCGAAAAATTTATGCAGAGCGGTGGATAGCGGGGATCGGGACAGGGTGGAAGAGAAGTTCGGCAAGGGTGTTTGTTGGTCGAAATTCGGAATTGCAGGATGTGGGCTGCGGCCCTCCTTTCCTTGTACATCTCGCCTCTAAATTACCTAGTAGTACCTTGGAATGCCCCACATGTTATAGCTCACAACACCGACCCGGGTAAGGGGAACGGAGGTAGGAAAAGTGAAATGTCTGGGAGCTACACAGCAGGAGTGCAAGAGCTCAAATACGATCAGTTGAATAGATACGTAAATACGACACTACCGTGTATTTCTGTTGCCCTTGCGCGGGATGCACGTAATACACACACACAAGTACCGGACACGCTCTTGCCTGACGAAGCGCCGCGGCAGTCATGATTGGTAGGCCGGAAGAGTCCACGTCTTTCTTCGCCTGCAGTCCGTAGCGGGATCGGTCGGAACGTCGAACCATTTAAGCACGACGAATGTTCAAGGGGGCGCAAACAGATCGGCGGGGAGCAGCGTGGAAGGGCCGTTTCGTGATAATCTTGACAAAGGGGATTGGAACAGTCGGCATTTCCATCCGAGCACACTTACAATATCGCTGTCGGTTTTGTTGTAGCACAATTTATTGCCTCATGTTCCGAGTGCTTCCCACAACCGATATATCTCGCCGAGTGCCGACGTGAAGATAACTAGCATGATTGCAGAGGGAACGGGGGTATTGTCTCAATCTATCCCGTTGTTATCAGGGAGGACAACTGCTCTTGCCCTTCCCATATCTAGCATTGATCGGCCCGACGCCATTCTACATCCTATCCATCCTACGTCAAGCGGCATACGCTTGGTCGAGGTCTTATTCTAATATCCAAAAGAATGCTGGTGGCGTCTATTAACATGTATGTGCAGTGAGAAGTCTTGCTCAACGGCAGCATAAGCAAGCTGTTTTTTTTTTTTTTGTAGCTCTGTCGAAACTACCGTAGGTTGCGCAAGATAGCACATCCCCTCGACCTATGTATTGCAAAGCTCGCCTACACGTACTTCCTTGCAGCAAACACAGCAGCGACGGTAAGAAAAAGTCAGCATTAGACCATCTCGTCCAGAATAATTCGAAAATTACTCTTGATTTTGATTTTTGGTTGTTGCATCCACGTCGTCGTAGAAACCGAGCTTTGAAAAACGTTCAAGGGCTGAGGGGGTGTGGTATCTTGTGCAACCTACGGTATCGAACAATCCTGCCTCTCTCCCCAATCCGGTGTACACACAGAGAATGCTCGCATTCGACTGTCCTTCCCACGAGTACTCACGAGCAACGGTTTGTTCACTTCTAGGTGATATGACAGGAATGCCACTGTCTACGGCGGTGAAATTCCTGATATTGTAGGGTTGACTATAATAATGCGCGCGTTCGATACCGCTTTTACAGTACAGTCGGTGCCGCAGATTTGCGTTACACGGGTCGTGCGCCGGATCGATAGAGAATGTTGTCGCTAGCCCAGAGCGTGGAACCGGACAAGATCAATGCTAACACCACAACGAACAAAGTCCCCCTAAGGTGCAAGAGCATGCGACGCCTCTAATTTTCCATGATGCATGCAACGAGAATCATGCCGTCATGACAGCAAAACATGTGGTAGTGGCGAAAGTGGCGAATACACACACGCTGCCTCGAATGTATGCGCCACTTTCATCCATTGAATCCATCTCCGTTCGACGTATGCTACAAAAGTAGTCCTCTCTGCCACCTGCACCTGTACACCATGGCGAGCCTTCTCTCGGGCGCGGAGCCGCGTCAGCAGGTCTCCCATGCCATCTGCTCCTTGGCCAAGGTTTTTTGCCGCTGCGAACATGTTTGTTGCAGGATCTCCTCTGTAGATGATCGACGCCGTTAACAACGTGCAGAGACCCACCAACGTGTACGTGCTGTTGTGGGAGCTACGAAGGCGGTGAAATGGAACCTGGGGGACTAGACCCGTGGTTACAATACGGTTTGCAAAACACTAGATATGGGCCTCACGGATCTATTGTCCACGTGCGTCGTGGCGCGTGTCGGCGGTTACACTTTGAGGGAGTTCGTACAGATATGGAAAAATGTGTAACTGCAGCATGCACACGAGGAGGTTGCGCCGCCTTCGCTCCATCAGGGGCGGAGAGCACAACGATTTAGGGGAAAGGGGGCTGACAAACATTGGTTCGTCAGTTGCCACAGTGCCAACGGGCCTGTACGGGGTGAGTGCGGTGGTTCTTGTTCCGGCGGGCGTGTGCTTCATACACAGGCAGCTGTGAGAACATAGATCAACTTGGAAGGCTGCGCAGCAACAGCCAGCACTGGGCAGGGCCATGCCCGTCAAGAACGAGCGCGTTGTACTGACACAGGTAAGGTGCTGCCCGGTGTACGCGTGTCTTAATGTTATATTCAGGACTTCCGACGCGTGCAGTAGTGTTCGTGGGGGCAACCTATGCAACTTCAATGGATGGCAGACTACTGCTGTAAGAAAATTGATGTGGACTACATAAGTACAATCTTCATGAATAACATGAAAAACGACGCAAGAGCACCAGCAAATGCAAAAGAGACACACGCGACCAGTCGGAAGGCATCGCGGAACAGAAATCGTTGATTCTCGCACAGGGCGACAGTAGAGGTTGCTCAAAACATACATTTCACGCGTCTACCTCCACACGCTTCCTTTGAAATCAAGAAAAAAATCAACACCACTCGAAATTCAAGTCAAAGGAGCCAAAACGGCAGGCGCTCAAACAAGGCCGCTGTTGCGAATAATGTAGCTGTTGTTGGGTTCGACTGTCATCAGTAGAGGACACCATGAAGAGGCATCGTGTGTGCTGGCACGTTCAGGTTTGCTGCTGGAGCTGAAATATCGAGGGTCGTACAGTAGTAATGTAATGTCCTACCGTGTCCAATACAATGTACAATCCCCGCAAAATCTCCGCAAATTACATAGACCGACACCCAGTGTTTCGTACTGCTTGTACTCGCCGCCACTGACCACAATACCCTGAACGGCGGGTGTACGGTCGGTGGCGTTGAACACGGCTGTGATGCAATGTTGGGTTCCGCTTTGTTCCGGCGAAGATTTCGGGCTGTTTTCAGAGGCTGCTGCGACCTTCAATATTTCAGCTCCGATATGCTAGCAAACCTGAACATGACAGCACGCACGACGCCTTTTAACGGTGTCCTCTACTGATGACAGCAGTAGAACGCAACAGCTAACGCCGGCAGGAATGTTGTTTTCTTTCTTTGTATTGGACTTAAGCGTCAAAACTTACTTGTTCTTTCAACCCCTTTAATTGTAATAGGGGTGTAGTGTTGCTCGAGGGTACAGAGGCCATCCCACTAGTGTGACCAGAGTCCATATTCCTACATAGGCGGGAAACGGCTGCCTGCATGCAGTGGTCAACGACAAACAACGTTGATCGGAAGTGGACGCTTCGGTCGTATAATACGCACGATACACGGGGAGTATAAGTAGAGCAGGTTCCCTCAACACTCGCGGAAATGCTTCACAACAACATGCCTTCGAATGGGGCATTCTCTCGAAAGGATGCAGTCTGTCTTTGATCGTATGTACATGTATGCGTGCTCAGAGTATACAGTCACATAATTCTAGCAGCACGGTGTGGGTTCGATTCTCTCCGCGGAGGGTTCTTTTCCCGGAATCTATTGGCAGCAACCCGTAGTCGACAGCGATCTAGGTCGTGAGTAAACACACTTCGGCTTCACGGCCGACGAGAGAAAGGGCTGGCTGAACCGTTCTATCTAGCGGTTAAACCCAAGGCAAGCACCGCAGGGAGAACGGTGGGGCAATACAACAAACAAAAATATGAAAACAGTTCCTACGTGGCCTCCCTCTTTGTGTGACCCCGGCTGATACGTCAGATATTAACGCCGAAAGGCCTGTAAACCGGCGCCAGAATAGATGGGACCAACACGCACACACACGCACACACACACACAACTTTCTTCCCCCATGCCACCCGCTCACGAGGTCCCAGTTCACGGAATTTAGAAGTGTTTTGTGTTTTCAACCGCACTGAGACGGACGTTTTTTCATTAGTCAGCCGGTTAGCGCGATGGATGCAAATAATAAAGACACACACACACACACATGAGCCTACACGCACAAGTCCTTAACAGTAAGACTCGCAGCAACCCTCGGTCCCTCCCTACCCTGTTTTATAGGCGGAACTTGATCGCATTCGAGCCAAGGTTACCAAGACCCCCGAGACAGATGCTGATGCCCGTCGCCGACACCTCAAGGTGCTCTCGGACGAGCGCGTGAGCCACTGGCCCAACACCCTCGAGGCGCAGCGACAGAACAAGGTGAATCTTCGGGAAACAATCAAGGCGTGAAGCACAGATTGATATTTTTCTTTCGCACTGCACAACGGCACAGTACGGGAAACGCCCGCGCACTGAAGAACCTCTAATTTTGGGTGGGGTTCTTTGCCGAGCTCACGAATGGTGCTCAAAAGTTGTTAGATTTTTGAGTTTTTTTCAAGCTGATTTTTTAACTGGTAGCATTTTTACGTGTGGGAGCTTTCTGTGAGAGTTTGAGCAAAATATTTTCCGCTCTTATGATCAAGACGCACTAGGTATCAATACATTATTTACGATCTAATAAAGATACCTGTAGCCGGATGAGGTGGTTTCAGCATGGCCAAATGTCACGAAGAGGATAGCATGATGTTGTTGTTTCATGACTTCGAATCCCTGTGCAATCACACAAAGGGTTTCGTTCTTACTCTATCCCCAATGGGCTAGTTCCTGGATACACATACGTTCTTCAATCGACTTCGTGGTCGGTAAGAGATAGAAGGATGGCTGAAATACTTCCCGCAATGATCGTGTGAGGCAAGCGCCACCAAAGGACGGCGGAGAAGAGATCCCAAGGATGGGAGTGGTGGGAGGCACACGAACACCCCAAGCACGCAAACCATACTTCATACGGGTTATCGGTGCTCAGGATAAACGTACAAGTACTTCTTTGTGTCGTGCTCAAAGAGTGAACCAAACCTATGCAATCACTCGCGTGAATCTTCAATAGCACCTTGGACGGTGGCCCTTATGCAAGGCGGCGCATGGCCACTTCGAAGCGGTCTTGACGGCCTCTCTGACGAAGAAGTTTTTCTCCTGACATGGCCTGCCTCTCAGGAGAATTGGAAGAAACAGCAAGAGGATCTGGTGGAGGCAAAACGAAGGGATGTGGACAAGGAGGAGGCTCTCCTGCAGCGGCAGATGAGAGCCGAGACGATCAAGAGGGCCAACGACAAGCTGTACGAGCAGACGGGGAAGATGAAGCTCCTGAGAAGCAACTTACTCTACGCCGAGGTTATTGAGGTACGAAGCTTCATATTTATAGATCACACTTTCGTGCGTGAGCAAGAGGTTCACTCGCCACCCCCCCCCCTCCCCCTAACCAATGGACTCACACGCAAAGGATGGTGACCAGCTTCTGGTTTGTCCTTGTGAAACGTAGCCTGGGCCGGAGAAACCCGGGCATACCGTCCCAGGAATCTTAAGGACTACGACACGCTTTTCGACGAGTACCCGACTCCTCGGACCAACGGACTCCAGATCGACGGTGGTGTCGCCAAGTCCCCGCGGGGGATCGAAGTATGTCAGATTCTCCTTCGAAACCACGCGTTCTGAATCCCGAAACAACTCGCACGTGTTGACAAGGACAACGATTAGCCTGAGAACAACGATGGGGGTCCAGACAAAGAGGAGGGTTCTGATTTTGCCGAGATTCATTCCCATCGCCTCTAGTGCGCGGGGAGGCCAGCACATACGACACGAATGTTTTTGCAGGGGATCCCTGCAGCGCGGGTCAACAGCGTACACACCCGACGGCAGCAACACCATCGTACAACCCATTGATTCTGTATGCGGTATGCCCCTGGTTGGCCGCACGCATGTCGATTCCTCTACGGGAGGGCCGTGTTGGTAGTGCTTCATGAACGGAGCAGAACTTATGCGTGTTTGTTGTGTGTGGCGATGGAAATTCGACCTGATCCCCGCGCAGACACGAAAGGAACAGATCGCCGAGAAGGCAGAGCGGCACACGGACGCGCAAGCCCTGGCTGCGGCTTACCACCAAGAGGTTATCCGAAAGGTGTGGTGATTTATGACACAGAGGAAGAGAATACGACACACAATGTATGAGTGCGGCATCAGTATCCACTCTGAAAAGGCGATGAAAAAAGACTGCCTGACAAGCACGACTGTGATGGCAGGGGGGGGTGATCGATAGTTTACGAGGACGCAACGCTCGGAGGCCCGTACGTAGCCATTGTGGTTACTATCAAAGCGACACAAAAGTCTCGGGGGGGGTGGCGGGTGGGAATGATGGTACAGAGAGATAGCCTGCGGAGTGCTGAAAATTGTGGGTGGATGACAAAGCGAGCGATGCATTGAGACGTGATGATTCGAATGGAGTTCGGCGGGAAACACAGCAGGAAAATAACCGAACCACACGGGGCGATACTGTTAAGTTTGCTTCGTATTCCGCTGGGCGAGTACATATTTCCCAAACCTCTAGCCGCAGGACAGAGCATGAGCCTGTCGGTGAGGCTGCGGCGTAAGCTACGCATTTCTCGTGTCACTCGTCATGTGCGGCTCTCGGGAAACAATACAACACAGGTTGCCGAGGGAGACGCAGCGGAAAAGGCCACTGCTGACGCCCGTGCTGCGAAGGCGAGGACGACGGCCAGGGACCAGCAGCAACAACTGCGCGAGTTCCAAGTACGCTGCCGAACACCTCGTAGGATGTGCTTGTAGTGTACCTACGAGTTTATACCTTCAGCCGGGTAGGACTATTGCTGTTGAGACGTGTGCTTGTTGATGGTACTTCTGGCATTGCGAGAGGTTTTGCTCTCAATGCAGGGGTTTCGGCGGACCTTCCAGCACTTCCGCATTCCGCACGCTTCCAAGGCATACGGTACGAGTAGGGTGGGGTGCAGTCATCGGGAAGCGCGATCGGCGTTGCCGAGGTCCAGTCGGGATAGGAAGGAGAACACCTCAATGAATGAGACCGTCGTTGTTGTTTTGTTGTTGATGTTGTTGTCTTGACATTGAAAAACCGCACCGGTCTCCGTTCAGTACCTTCCAATATCGAACGCCTCTAAGAAACGACACTTGTGTACTGCTGTTAGTCTTGTTCCCGTTTTCGACTTCATTAGTATCCTCCGATGTGCTCACCAATACCCTCTTCGACATATGAACATTGTTGTTGCTTGCTTTTTTTTTCGCTAGACGTCGTACATCGCGAGCTTGGTCAAGGCCAAGGAGGACGGAGACGAGACGCAGAGGGCGGCCAAGGTGAGTCGTGCGACGAAAAGCATCTTGTTCTGATATTATTGTTGTTGTTGTTATTGTTGTTGGTAGTGGTGTGTTGGTGTTGGTAGTGGTGTGTTGGTGTTGGTGTTGCTGTCGTCCGTAATCGTCATCGTCGTCGTCGTCGTCGTTGTCGTCGTCGTCGTCGTCATCGCCGTGGATGTCGCTGTTGTGGTCGTCATCAATTGGTTCTGCTTGTTGTGGGTGTTCAGGCCGCCATCGAAGCGGAAGAGGACGAGAAGAGGGCCCTCAAGCTCAAGAACCGCGCGGAGATGGAGAAGATGCTCACGGCGAACAAGGACCTGCACCAAAGGAGAGCCGAGCGAATATCGGAAGAGTTGGCGGTGAGCCCATGATTCACACAAGCAAGGAGAAGATACCCCTCAAGCACACAACAACTCGTCTGGCAAGGAGCGGTGTACGCACAGAGTTGTCGGGAAGACGTATCAATTGTAGCCGTCATTTTCTTCAAGTCGAGTGGCTTGGAGGTCGCTCGAGCAACGTGCTTTGGAGAGTGAGCGCTATGCTCCTATTGCGTTCCATCTTGAGCCCACTTGCTTGGTGAAATGACTGCGTTCGCGATGCCGCTTTTACGGAGAGTAGTAGGCCGCCAGGTGGACGGCAGGCACACTAGGCTTTGCTCTGGGTACGGCATCAAACATTTTTCGCTGGATGTGTAGGCATCGGCCAAGGATGTTGAGGGCAGAAAAATGACACGGACGTTTCCGGGTCAAGGAATGGACATGGCTCGGCGTACCCCCGGGGGAACCCGAGGTCCCACTCGCGGAATCGTGTTGGTTTCAGATGAGGTCGATACATACTTATGTTTTCTCACCTGTCCGTGTGTTTAGATCGGCCTTTGCTTCCGATACCAAGGCACGCGGTTTAAGCGCTTACCTGCTTGCTCTGCTTGACCGTTGCAAAACGTTCGCGCGTAATGTAGTACATGGAGAAGTGCCGGCAGCAGCGGGACGTGCTGGACAGGGCGGCGAGGGCTAGGAAGAGCCTAGAGACCAAGCGATTCAACGAGAAACAGGTGCCGACAGATTTAGCGTTTCATCGTCGTCTTCGTTGATGTCATGCTCTCTACGCCTTGTCGAGGTCCTGCTCTAGAAACGTTGATGTAGCTGCTTCAAACATGTCGTAACCTATCACCGATACTTAGGTTCGAATAAGCTTCACCCCGACCCCCAACGCGCTCGTCGTCGCCAGGCAATAAGACAGCAGATGATCGACAAGGCCACAAGGGAGCTCGAAGCCAGCCGGAAGGCCGAGGACAACAAAGAAGAGAAGGAGGTAGGTACAGAGGTCACCTGTTTCTGTGCCGGGAACCGCAGCCGTAGTTCCAGCGATCACGGACCCTTCCGCCAAAACGCTGACCGGTAGACCCGAAACGGGCCTGAAAATATGCGTCTTACGATTTCTCCTGTCAACACTCAAGGCTGTGCCGTGCGGGTGGCTGGTGGCAATGGATGTTGATCGCGTGGAGGCGGAGAGGGTACGGTGGAAGATAAAAACAACGGCATTGGGTTGAATCATACCAACTCGTCTTTCTTCCCACCTCTCTTTCAAAGTAACGCCGAACGGTTTCGTCCACAGCGTAGTAGAAGGGAAATTCCCGGCCTTTAGCAAGAACGCGAAGTTGAAGCTGCGTACGGTACCGCGTTGTCTCGCGAGAATTTTCAGTGTTTTCGCCGCTATCCGACGACATTCTGCGGTAGCGTGTTGTACTCTTACCCTTGTTCCGACGGGCGGGTCACCCCATGAAGCCGTTTACCAACTCTTGAATGGCCCGAACGAGGACGTGCAGTAGGGAGAGGGTCAATACGGTATTCCCCTCTCAAGCCAGAAAAAGCAACCGCGCGGGACATCGTCGATCGGGGCACTGTTGTCACAGGCTCTCCAGCAGAGGCAGAAGGAAGACGATGCGGCCGCCAACAAGACCAAGGCCAGGGAAGAACTCCGCCTTCAGATTGATAGGAGCAGGTACGAGAGAGAGAGAGATAATAATAAATTGTCTTGCAAGGAGCCCCCACACTACTTCAACCACCGCGTCGGAGAAAGACGTGGGTGGTTTGGCCGCATTTTCAGTCGCGCAAGGGGGCGCGCATGCTTCCCACAAGCGAAGCGCAAACCGCGCAACACCACATGATGCAAGACAACGCCGTTCTTGGAGGCACGTCGAGCTGCAGATTAGAACGCCGGTGGGAGCCTAACTCGTAGCAGTTGCTCGGCGTTAGAAGTGAACTATTAAAACAATAACAATTTACAAACCGTGTTGGTTGCGATGCCCTATCCACAAGACTGTCCATGAAAGCAAACGCGCACAATACTAATAATACCTATGGAGGTCGATAGATGCTCAAGACATCGTTATGTATCACGTGGTTTGATGCGGGGGCGTCCCGGCGTACGCTTGGGGGGCTCCTTTTCGAGGGAGAAAAGGTAACATGAAAAACTTGCGATTTTCCGCCCGATCGCCGGCATCATCGCCTTGTTGTCGGAGATGTTGTCCCCGTTGCCTGACGGGTTCAGTGCTGCTCTGGCAAGCATACGGATAATCCACCGAACACGATGGATGATTTGCACGTTGAACCCACGTACCGGCCAACGTCCACGGTGAAAATGAAGCAAAGCAACGACAGCAACGACGAGGCGACATGAACGGTGAACTCATTGTGAAAACAACAAGTACAACAACAACAACAACAACAACAACAACAACAATTAACGACAACAATGAATGACCATGTATCGATGTGCCAGGGCGATTCAGATCAGGCAGAGGGCGGAGAAAGAAGAGGCTCAACGGGCCGAGGACAAAGAGATCAACGCCTACTTCCGACAGAGAACCAGCGAGGTCAGTGCAATACAGCAGAGCCCTTTCACCAACCCTTCCTGTGGCGTAAAGGGTCGTTGCTCAATCACGGTCGTTCGGAGTCCTGTGGGTTCAACACCCACCACCGATGTGCACACCTCAGCGAGAGTCTTCAGCTGCTAAATTCCAGGATCCAATCGTTCTGGGGCAACGGAACTTTGTTCTCGGTGTTTTCTCGCTAACAACCAGGCAACACCGTCCATGCACGGCATCACACGACAACCATCACCACCTGCCACACCCTGCGGGGATAACCCAAACAGTTCAACGGAGTGGTTGTTTCCTCTTGGAAAAACCAACAGCATGAAAAATGTTTTAGTGTTTCACCCAGGGGAGGAATTCGAACATGCTGCAGGGGCATGTAGGGCCCGGCGCGAGTCCACTCCGCTGCAGAGGCTTGGCTGCGCGCGAGAACGGACGACGACAATGATAGAACGGCAATATCAGCTCTGAAACCTATCTACCACCCTGGGCGAAAACGACCCCCCCCACACACGCACACAGATGGATCGGCTGGACAAGGAGGAGGAGGCGGCTAGGCTGGCGCGCGAAAAGCAATTGAGAAACTCTCAGAAGCTGCAGGTGATGGAATTTCTGGTAGACGAGAAGCTGACACGTTGGTGCTGTCGTTGTTGCATTATTGCATGGGGCTACCAGGCGCATGTTGACCGTGCGGATTTTGCCCCTGCTCTGGTGGAGTTATTTCCATCCTCTTCGAACCATCGTTGAACGAGCTCCGCCGAAAACTCTACACAGCCAACCTGGATGACTCGCGAATGAAAATCTCACAAAAATTCTGCACGTGCAAGTAAACACGACCGAGAAGGGTTTGTCGAAGTTCGACAAGCAATCGATTAATGTCAACGTTTTGCGTACTGTGCCCTTTTTGAGAATCAGACCACGCAGACGTTCGGGATTTGTGCATATGAGGGTCGACGTTTAGATAGGGCCGGCATTCCACAGAATGAGGTAATTCCATGGTCAACATGAGGAGAATCAAGAGCAGCAAAGGGATTACGCTTGGGCTGGGAGTTACCGCGTTGAGGGCTTCCCCCATGAGCACACGTCCCCGCGTTTAATAAGTTTCCATTTTGCCTCCGATAAATTAAATCTGGGCTACGACGTCAAGTTTTGTTGGCGTACGACGTACGCGCGACCCTAACACCTCGAGCCTAACAGGAAGCAGATCGGTGCCGGTATGTTGCAGAGACGTTCATGATAAGCGGCTGTGTGGAATGTTTACCGGAACATTTCCTTCCCACAGCTCGAACAGTGAATGTTTTCTTTTGGCCTTTAGCTCTGGACCGTGACCCGCCGTTGGATGAGACTTCCACCGCAAGCGTCAACTGTTTTCGCCGTTCCTTGGACGCGTCATCCCTCTCGTCGCGCAGGCCAGAGAACGCAATGCGAAGGACAGGGCGCTGCAGGCCTACGAGACCGTGAACCACGCCCGCACGATCGCTGCCCAAGGGGACGAGGACGACCGGTAAGTATCAACCCGTGCCTGCTGGTTCTCGATCCGTCGTCGTTCTCGGCCGCAGATGTCGCCGCAACCACTCCTTGACTCTCTCCGTGAGTTCCTTGCCTTCAGCTGGGTGCGTTGTTTTCGAGAGTGGCCGTGCACAGAAGCCGGTGCCGACCACCCCCCATTGCTTTTTATTTGAAGAGGCTCCAATGAACGATGTTTGTACAACTTGGTGCACATACGCGGGGGGGAATCATCAGAAAGCACAAGGATCCCGCCGGTCGCGGTTGCTGATTGTCCCACCCTCATATCTCCCTCTTGCAGGTTCAAGAAGATCGTCCACGGCTACATCGACGACTTCAATGCGAAGGGGAAGTCGACGTACCTTCTGCACAGGACCCTCAATCACAAGAACCCGGACATGTTCCCCGCCGGAAACCTCAATCTCTAGAGGGGTCGTGGGTGTTACTAGAGACGCATCTGATACTATTCTAGACGTATGAGACCAAAACCGGCCCATCACACGTTGTTTTATTGCTGTGTGTGTGTCGCTGTGCCTTTGCGTTTGGGCACCCTCTGTGGTTACGCGCGTGTGTTGGCATGTCGGCCGTGTGATGTGGGTGGGCACGTACCGTCCGCACCTTGGATCGCTGCATCCCCTCGCCGGCATGAGCGCGCTTCTGAGGGCTTCGCAGAATGTATATGCCGGTTGTGATGAAAAGATGCGGGGAGCGTCACACGGAAGAATATTGTTAGTGGTTGCGCTTCAGCGTGCTAGAACGTCGGCTCGCGTTTCGCGTCTCGAGCCCGCGGTAGGGGGCATTGCGGAGAAGCCGAGCAAAAGCAAGCCAAATTCGATCTGGAACTGATGTACCGCACGAAACCGCCTTGCTCAAAGGATGGATCCACAACATGGTTACAATGTTTCGTGTCTGCGCTCACGAAGAAATTGTTGAATTTTGTCCTATTCCGATCTACTGACAATGAAACGAGACCGTAGGTTGAACGCAGGAAGTGTTAATCAACCGAATTGCCAGGCTTAAGCGGCACATACTTTTTGGATTGTTCGTCGAAAAACCTCTCCATCGAAAACGGCGCTGGAAACGGGCTATCAGCTTCTATCAGGCTTTCCTTCGCCATACAAGTGTAGTACTCCCGTAGAAGTACGTCGACTGCTCAATCGAGCAACAAGCTGCGTGTAGGCACCAATTCACTTGTCGGCCTCGATGCCAGCTGAGATGGGTACAACATATTGTCGAAGTGTGGGAGACACATCGGTTCTCTCTCACCGTTGGATATTGCCCGACAACAGCGGGTGGTTTTTATGTTGTACTCTTGACACCGTTGGTCGATCACTTGATCGATGAAAGTATTGGATTGGATGCGGCCTCCTGCCGCCCGGTTGGCGGACCGGCAGGGGTGGGTATTTCGCCGCGTCGTAAAACGTTTGCGCCGCGGCGACATGCCGAGCTAGGCAAATGATCATTGTGGGGAAAAGAAGTAGACAACAAACAGGAAAGGAATATGGTATTATCGCAGTTGGGCGGGAGGGACGGTCTCGAATTTCCTGTCCCGAACGTCCTTTCGAGAGGATATTGTTTTTCGAGAGAGAAGTGCCAACGGGTACCGATTTCAAGTAACTTCGGAGGCCCTGCAGTTGGTGGTGTTCCGTGTCGGAACTGGAATAATCTGATTGGCTCCCAAATATGCTTCGTCACAAGCAAACACGTACAGAGAGGTAGCCTGGAATTGTCTTTTGCCCTACTGAAACAGACAAATTCATGTTGTATCCTCTTGCCTTGCCTCCACTCATGGTCTGAATCAAGTGTGTTGGTTCCTCTCTCTGCGTCCTCCACCATATCTGACGTAGCGAGAGGAACCCCACCTGATTAACGGCTTGCTCCGTATGTGCTACGGTGGTTGCATGGCCGGAGAGTGACTCACAAGACACCTTATTGGTCTTGTAAATGACGGCCCCATAGTAGCCTCTGTTCCATGAAATTGATTCATTCGCTGCACGCTTGCCGCATATCATACTCTCCCTATATTTTCAACTCTAGCTGAACGCCAAACGGATTTGGATCTTCCGCTTGAATCGCCTCCAATACGACGGTACGGTCGAGCTTGTGAATCAGCCACGAAGATGATGCGCACACACCAATGAAGGTAGGAGAGACGCTTCATTCTGTAAGGACACGTGAAAGAAGGCATCGCCCCCTCCTGCCGTTAATGACACTGCCGTAAGGCCTTTTTAAAATACAATGTAAACGCAGCCGCCAGTAATGATGACAATGTGTACACCCAACCAAACGAATACACACATTTTTCGGAATGTTCCCCCACATGGCCTTTGCTGATTGGCACAGGAACGCCGTGAATGAAGGCAGCACTTCCTTCTGCAGCCAATGAACCTTCTGTTGTAATAACGCTAACCCTCTATGAAACCCAGGAGACGTGGTGATGTAACGCCTTTTTACAATACAATGAAAATGCAGCCAGCAGCAATGACAACGTCTACCCAACCAAACGAATACACACATATTTCAGAATGTTCTTCCACATGCCCTGTGCTGATTGATTTGGCACAGACAGGAACACCATGACTAAAGCCATCACTTCCTTCTGCAGCCAATGAATCTTGAATAAAATACCGCCAATCTTCTATGAAGCCCACCAGACGAGTACTGCTGAAACGCCTTTTTACAATACGACGTAAATGCAGCCACCTGCAATGACAACGTGTTTACACCTAACCAAATGAATACAAACATATTTCAGAATGTTCCTCCACACATCCTTTGCTGATTTGGCACAGGAACATTCTTTCTGCAGCCATTGAACCTTCTGCTGAGTACTGCCAATTTTCTATGAAACCCACCAGACGTGCTGATACTGCCGTAACGCCTTTTTACAATACATCCGTAAATGCAGCTACTTCCAAAATGTAAATGTCGTCTCGCACTCGCACCAAAAAAATACTACATAGACTAAACTGCCGACAGTTCTGCCGCACGATCATGGCTGATTGGCGCAGGACCGCTGCGCATGAAGGCATCTTCCTTGTGCAGCCAATGAACCTTCTGCTGAATACCTCCTATCTTCAATGAAACCCACCAGACGTGTTGATACTGGAACGCCTTTCACCATCGCACCCTAAAAAATCAATATGAATGTCGCCACGTCACCCCCAACAATTAAATACTCTGTAGACTAAACTATAGCAAGTTCCACCACATGCTCATGGCTGATTTGGCACAGGAACACCGTGAGTACTGAGCATCATTCCCCTGCAGAAAATAACACCGCTGATAAATAACGCCATTCTATAAAACCCAACAGACGTGTTGATAGCCTTCTCGTCGACACGCTTCGGCCGAAAGGATATCGCAACGAGTCTGATTACCTTATTCCTACCCACCAGCTCCCCACCCCACACCATTGTCGGAAACAAATTGATGTCCTTGCCCGAAGACGGTCGAAACAGCTTTAGTTTGGTTTCGTCCTGCTCGCGCATCCCTGCCGCGAGTTCCACCCGAGTTATTACTGTAGAATAAGGTGCCGCCTACAAGAAGTTATCCGTCCTCCACGTCCTCCTCCCCATGCCAGGAGGCGTCGAACAGGTGGACAACCAGGCCCAATTCAATTCCTGGTAACTCTCATCTGTCTCTATTGCTAGTACGTACGTGTAACCGAGGTGTCAAGGTCACCACACCAGATGATTTCACAATCATCTTTTCCCTTTCTTACCCAACCCATCCCGTCTTCTGGTCGTTCCATATTTCCCCTTACCGTCGATATCTCCCGGCACCCATCCGTCGGAAGAATATCGGAATATGCACTGCGTCACCCGAACGATGCCCTTACTTCGAGACTCGGTCACACTTTGCAGCCCCCCTTGTCTCGCACAACCCCTCCAAGAAAAAACGCTCTAATACCCCGCCTTTGTCCCCCGCCGCTAACCTTTCGTGCGGGCAATTCACTCCTCTTGGTACTCAACGAGTTCAGCTATGTGAACTGCCTCATCCTCTCGGATTCGATACGTGAAAAAATAATGCCCACCTGAGCCCTGATCCGTTACTTTTGGTGGGTTTATGGCTCCTTACGCCCACGCGCATGTCCAATAAATATGAATATGCGACCAAGGGTTGGTTGTGTGTATACCTACAAATATCTGCAGCAATAGTAATGTGAAAGAACGACCTCTATTTCCCCCAAGGAAAGAGTTCGGTTAAATCAAAAACGTGCACGACATAGAGACGAGCGTCGACAACAAGTACAAATTCACGCAGGCCTACCCGGAAACTTCACCCAACAACTGTCAGCTACGCAGCTACCCGACACCGGTGGAAGTGAGAACGAAACAAGCATTGCTATACGTCCACCGGGTTGGCATGGTGATCGTCGAAACGAAAGACCACGACATCAGGAAGATCTACCCTAGTCTGTCCACCAGAAACAAAACCCTACAGATAGCTCAACTCACACCGCTGGCCTTTAGCGGTGACCCCCCCCCCCCTCCCCCTCCCCCTCAACGAGGTGCATGGTGACGACAATCACCCACATAATGTATGTGTCGTCGTGAAACACGAAGACCAACTCAAGCGCCCACCCACTGAGTATGAAACTGAGGGCGGTTGAGTGATTGCTACTGCTGGTCCAAGCCAGACAAGAATTCAAAATTGAACAAGACCGAGAAAAAGGACTGAACAAAACAGTGTGAAGCGATGCACCGGGCAAGATCCGCTACCGTTGATGCTTACTCGGCGCTAAGCGGTCCAGAGGCTCTCGACCATTTTCATTCTGACCGACACGGGCATCTACACGAAACAACTGCAACAACCGGCTGAGGCCTAATGCCCTCGATGGTACTGGCTGGTGCGCCTTAATGTGGTCGAGAGCGAGTATCGGCGTGCTCCCTTCCGACCCAAAATCCCGGTCTCGAACGTAATCCTCTCCAAGAGACAAAAACGATCATGCTTCGACGAAAGACTATTTCCCGGCGAAGTTCGTTCGGATCTATAACGCGAGAGCTCTCCCGCAAGGCTTACAGGCCCCGTCGACTCAAACTAGCGCCTCTTCATCCAATGAATGGCGCTTTCCCCTACACGAGCAGAGTGGCCACAAAAGCCTCAGCTTTCCAACTCAACCCAGTTAAAAAAAAGGCTGACACGAAAACAGTAGACGACGGCATTTCGTTCCCGGAGAACACAGAAACTTGTTATCCCAAACCCTCTCGCTTAAACAGCCCCTCGGGGACATGTTTCTCGCCCCCGAAAACGTTTCAAAAATGAATCAACTATTATTGTAGGGCATCAAAAAATGCGGGCTTTCTCGTATGGTGAAGACAAGACGGGGTCGGCCATCTGCTGCTCAATACTTAGCAGAAAATATCTAGACCGATTGTTTGTCTGCCTTTTTCTTAAGAGTCCATCCAATGCGCCGTGCCCATTGTTACGGCAGACGATATCATGAAGATCGCTTCAGACGAGGAATATCCAGGATGGATTCTAGCTTAAGACACGCCCAGATCGTGATGACAAATTTTCTAGTTGACTCTTCCTATAAACCAAATCCAATAATCCCCCAAAGATCCCAAACACATTTTGAGATCCAGCCCGGCAGAGCATGGTCATTTTCTTGTTATGTTTATTGCCGGCGGATACCCCTACGATATACTTGTAGCCTGGAGGAGCAGTAGCCTCATTTAAACGCTCACATGCCACCCTTACGCGGGTGAATTGAAACACCTAGCTGGGTGTCGAGGATATTCATGTGCCACGAGCGCGAAGAACGCGATCTTGCCGATGGAGTTCAGAAAAGGAACGACGGCAAGGTGCCGTGGATGGCGCGGTGCAGCTTCGCCATCGCGTGCACATCGCTGCCGCCGGTGGTGGTGCCTGAGAGATGCAAGCAAAGCGTGCGCGTGAGCACGAATTTCACTCGGTCTGGCGCCAGATTTCAATACGGGATATTGAGACGAGGAATGACTGAGGGAGGATCGGAAAATACACGAACACCTTAACGTGATATTCACAATAGTAATGGCATTCACACCCTCAATTCCACACGCTCAATGACTTGTAAATTGAATGCTGTGCCAGCATCATCGGGACAGGATTGATGGCGCCTTGAGAAGGAACGGCTCGTCATCGCTCAAGAGTGTGTCGACGCTAGGTGACACAAGCCATATTTTGGGAGGGGCAGGGAAAAAGTGGTGACAATAATACAATCCTAGGTATCCAGTTTGAAAATCTAAGGGCGTGCTCCTTGGACAATAGTCTCATAGAGTCTCATGGTGATGCAGTGAGACGGGAACGAATGCCCGGAGCTCATGATCTGATCGGCAATCCATTGCTCACTCGAAAGTCCTGTGTCGGGGAGTTTAACATGTATACGCGCGCTTTTTCACTCCTTGCGCATCTGGAAGTGAATGAATGCATGAACCATTGTTCCCTGAATCACCACGCAGCAGTTTCGAACCAACGTGGTTGGATGTTCAAAACTAGTGCCACCTTTTTCTCACCGTCGCATAGCTGGCGGCGGTGGTGAAGATGGGCCATGACGTACTGCGGAGGCGCCATGGCAGCACCGTAGCCGACGCTATCGGGGACGATGCCCGAGTTGGCCTGGGAAGACAAGGGGAGACAAAAGAAGACATGGGAAGACAAGAGAAGACAAGAGAAGACAAGAGGAGAGAAGACAAAAGAAGACAAGAGGAAGACAAGAGAAGACAAGAGGAAGACAAGAGAAGACAAGAGAAGACAAGAGAAGGGAAGGGAAGGGAAGGGGTCACCAACGACGGCTCTCTCGAATAATCTTGAGCTTACCCTCACCCAATGGATGTCATCTCTCTGATTGATACCGTCTCTTTCGAAATCAGTCAAGAAGTGCAAATGGATAGGCCATCTGAGCTTGAAGGGGTACGCCATGAGGCCGGCAAGCACCTAGGCCAGAGTTTTCAAAGTCTTCATCCGTCCCACCTCCGTCACGTAGCTCCTGTCGTAGTCCCTACCAAGGTGGGCAGGTTGGCCTAGCTGGCACGCGCCGTAGTCGCCGCCGTCGCTGCTCGAAGGGCTGGTGCAAGTGCTCGTGTCGGTGTCGGAGTGCAGCCCCACGAAAACAGCAAGGCGGGCCGGTGTTCCCGACGGGCGAGACGCGGCGGCGCTGGGCGCACCGGCTGCGGGCCCCGCCGAGCGGCTGGCGACCAGGCCTTGCTCGCGGGGGTGCTGCGACAGGCAGCTGAAGCCGTCGTGGATGACGCCGTCGTACTCGTCTTCGCCTTCCAAGCTACGTCATGGCCAGCAACAAGAGGCATGGTAACAACATGAGGTTACAGGATGCGCTATGTAGATGGCGGAACGAGCAAGATGTGTTTGTGAAATTATCGTCGGTGTCATGAATTTTTCACGGCACTGCTGCAGCATCTCACGGTCGATGGCATCAACAACATAATCGCCCGTATTTGCATGGTACACTTTTGTTTTAGCTGTTTAGGTGTAATTCTGGACGCACCTGACAGCACTCGCGACGTCGCTCGTCGCCGCGGGCGAGCCAAGCGCAGAGAACGCGCCGGCGTGCACGAACGAACCATTCCCGACGGCCCCCTCCAAACCCGGGGGTGGGGGCACCGCGGAACACCAGGAAGAAGACGAAGAAGGGCACGAGAAGTACGAGTCGTCGTCGTCGTCGTAGTCGGATTTAACCGAGCCGTACTCGAGCACCACATCTGCCAGGAGCGAGCGACACGTCACGACCAACATTGCGGACGAATACGCATGCGGCGACAAGGCCAGCGTGTGAAAGGCATGTTAACGTGCGTTCGGAGAAATGCATTGATAGGGTAGCGGATGATTGCCCACAACCCTCTCGCATTCGGGTCAGAGAAGTACCCAACCTTTCCCATCTTGAATTTCAATTGTGTGTCATTTAGCCCATTGGGACTACGTATCGCGTCGCACGTTCACTGTGTCAGTATCCATGCGAGGATGAGATATCGAGCTTCTCACGTTGGAGACTGAGAAAGGACTCGTGCACCCCTACCGTTCCATGAGTCTTCGCATAGTCCCGGGTGGCCGCCAGCGGTCGGGGTTGGAGAGGCTAGTATTGGGAAACAGGTTGCACTCAAGGTTCCGTGGTATCAATCTTGAACTTGACGATACGGTAGGTAGTACACGAATAGAATCTTATTCCTAGTGAGTTCAACCGAAGGTACTGTAAGCCAGGAAACAATAAGTCTTCCAGGGCTTAAGACGATATGGCACTGACTTCAAGTCCGCAACTCCCTTCCCTTCGCTCTCACCTTCGCCCTTGAGCAGCGCGGCCGGGGCGGCGGCCGGCGGTGGGGTACCCGGGCATGCCGGGATTCCCATCCGCAGGGTGTAGAACACCGGCAGTGGGTCACTATCGATGTTGCCGTTGTCTGACCTAGGCGGGGCAGCGTCGAGCTGCTTGAGCTTGGCGCTTACGGCGGAGGAGGTCGGCAAAGCACGGCCGACCGCACCGCGTGCGGCGGAGGCGGAGGGAGGAATGAAGTGGACGCCAGCGCTGGCGGCGTCCTTGTAGCTGATGATCCTTTTCGCCGTCGTAGGGGGAGGATAAGTACCCGTGCCACCGCTGGCGATTGCGCCGCTGCTGGTGTGGTTGGTGTCCTCCTCGACGCCACCCTTGTTGCTGGCGCGGGCGAAGATCGCGGAATCGTCGATCCCCATCACGGTTATGAAGGAGTACCACAGCTTGTACGCCGTGCTGCGGTTGCGGTGAGGGGGGGGGCGTCACAAGAAGGAGCAATGATGATCAGATAGATCAGGAGACCGCTTCAAAGCAGGCCACGCGTGCAATTGCGTCATGTGTCGGTACAGTGAAGGAGCTTCATTTTCCGTGGAGAATCTTTCACAAATAGACTTCTGCTGTATTTGAGATGTTTTTATGCTCTGGTGTGTTTCGATCTGGGGAAAAAGTAGGTTTTTTTTTGTTTTTTGGGGGGGGTATGATGTTGGAGGTTCATGTCATCGTCGTTCGGGGCTAACGTGGTTCCCATTCTCGAACCCACCCCGCGGGAAGGCGCTGAGTTGCGATAACATGCGAGCTTCGCTCTGGGAGACAGGTCCCGAAAACGATACCTTCGATGCGACACGAGGGAAAAAAAACTACGAGTACGTCAACTACCCTGCGAAAGAGAAGACTCGTATCCATGGGGTTGGTGGAAACATCGACCAACCTGCACGCCCGACCTCAAACATGGAGGTATATGGAATAATGCCGTCTTGTCGCTATTGGTCCAGCAGTGGTTGCAAGCGGGTGCTCGGGGTGCATCTGCCTGTGCAAAGATCACTACAGGATCAGACTTCGCATCTTGAGGTTGCTGGCAAAAGCTTGGGCCCAAAAAAGCGGAATTTAAATTAACTGAACGTATCCACGTTTTCCCTTCCCCTACCTGTGGTCTCGCCCGGTGTTGACGTCGACACCAAAGTCGATATCGTACCGCACCTCGTCGGCAGGAAGCTGGAGAGGAAAGCAGGCAGCGGGGGGGGGGGGGGGGGGGGGGGGGTG